GTATTTGAAAGTTAAATTGAGGTGAACATCATTAAACATAATTTATTCAAATCAGGACCTCATTTGCATAATTTATTAGGAAATGCTAGAATGCATTGTTTGTTAATATAAGACTGTCTTTTGGTTGAGATTATGATAAAATGATATAATTCATAAAAATTAGGTTCCTATTTCTTAAATCAGGGGGGAATAATCTAATCTAAACTTTGTCAGTCATAAAGATTAACATCATTTGGCGAAGGTATGAGATCGGGGAACTCTAGTTTTTATTTTTTTTCGCCCTGTCGCTTCATATTTTTTCTGAAAAATTCCGAGAACCAACAAATTAAATTGGTGTGGCCTTAGAGATGCATAATGTAGCAACAAGTACCTAACAGACACAACAGAACCATATGTGCTGATAATTGTGTAATCATCCCCATGTCCGTGTCAGTTCTCCACAGATCCAGGGTGTGCGCTTCTCCTTCGGTCCTCCATCTGAGATTGCAGAGATGCAGCGAGCCCAGCCTGGATTAGCACAACTGGCTACACAGGGAGGTAAGACAGGCTTGAACAAGCTTGGACAGATTTTTAGTAGTATTTGCTTGTGATGGTTCCCAAAAGTGTTTTTTTTTAGTGTAATAACTATGAACACTGTATGTATAGTTTTGTGGATTTACTGACAATGTTTTAGTGATAAGACCTGTGTTGCTACTGTGCAGCCCTTGGCATGGATGACACCCACATGGACCTGTTGGGTGGCGAGGACGAGGGTTCAGGCCGCAGCGTTCCTACAACCCCAGTACAACTCACTGCACCAGGTTAGTCTTACCTGTCAGACAGCACCCTTTCTATTAGACAACAATTCCTGGATTTGTGTGATCCTTCATTTCCTTATTGAAGTATGATGCAAGATGTAAATGTATAATTTAAAGGACATCAAATTGAAGAACAATAGGAAGATCTCATAGCCCCACCCACCTCTGTCATAAAGTAGAAAACAAATGGCGCAAAGTAAAGAGCTGACATAAAACGACAGACTCTCTCATTGGTGGAACCACTAATTGCCATGTTGTCATTGGTTGAACTGCTAATTGTAATGGACAGTCAGGACTGGTCTGTTGAAGGATACATGTGTTGCATACATGGTGCTTATTAAGTTTGTGTGCACAGTTACAGTGTTCAGTGAAGGTGGGCCGTCGGTGCTGGAACATGTAGAAATGAGCACAGTACAGTCCATCCCACGTGTGCCCTCCCCGCGTACATCCCCGCGAGCCGTGCCCGTGTCAGAGCCGTCCAGCGAACAGGCCTCCCAGGATGTGCCCCAGAGTACCGGGGACAGTCAGGAGGAACCCAGGTCAGGGTCACACTGCTGCAGAAATGGGACAGTAATACACTGATGGAGCTTAGTTATAGAATTTAGTCCGACATTTACAAGATATTTAACATATTTTGTATAGACTATACTGCATCTGTATTGAATAATCTAGACTGTGAGTTTGATTAGAAGTACAAAGCACATCTGTGAAACAAATCTTATAGTATTTCTTTCTGTTCCCAAGCAGCCTGGAAGAGGAGGAGGTAGAAGGGAGGGAGGGAGATGAAGAAACAGAAGAGCCAGAAGAGGAAAGTAAGGAGGCAGCGACATCAGGAGGTCAGGCTCTTCTCTCTGTCAATATTGGGGGTTTGTAAAAGACAACAAAACACGCAAACCATTCTTACTTATGTATGAAGTTTATGATCAATCCATCAAATATTTGGTTGCTCATTGGTCACAGCTTCTAGTTGAAAATGCCTGAATTGTGATGTATATGTACATTTACACATGTACGGGTAGTTGGAGGATTTAGAGTTGCACTGAAATTCAAGCCATGCATGTGATCCAGGTGATGCCTCTGCTCCCACTGAAGAACCAGCAGCTGAAGCTGAAGCAAGTGGACAGGTGCAGGCATCCTCATCAGGTGCTGGTCCCTCTACAGGTGCCACGGGGAGCACAGGTAGAACTTTGAACTGGACTATATACAACTACTTCATTGCACGATGTTTCATTTTTGGAAGTGGATTTAGACTCTAAATTAGAGTTCCAACTGTGCATGCGTGGTGTGATGCATTGTATCAAAGTTGAAGGCCCCCAGGACAAAAATCACATTTGGACATGTAACAAGCAAGGTCTAGACAAGAAATGTTCACAAGTTAAGGAACTTCACCTTTGTCCTCACACATGTGTGGTTACACATGTGTAGTACTCTCAATCTGCTTATAGTAGCAGATTTTGACGTCTTTGCAGTCTTCATACTGCACCAAGTTCACTAAACTTGATCTGCAAACAGCATTGCTACCGGTAATTTTTCTCTCCTGATTTGAACATATTATTAATTTGAAAGAAAGGTGAAACAACCAAAGACCAGGGTGTAAGTCAATGCTACATGTACCTTTACATTCAAATGTAGTAAGCATAGTAGAATGAAGCCTTTCCTGGGATGTTTTCCAGAATCCAGACCCAAGCCCAACATAAAGCCAGTGGTGTGGTCAGAGGGCCCCAGCACCTCACAACCTCCCGCTCCAACTCAGCACCATCCACAGAGGGGCAGGGGCAACCGCAGGATGAGAATTAGAGGTGAGGAACAGATCATTACACTACACTGTATCACATCCATAGTGTTACATGTAAATGGCCAAGTGGTTAGTCTTGGGAACAAGAGATAGAGAGGTTATAGTTTTCAGTCCCAAACATTCCTAGCTAGACATTGTGTTCTTGGGAAAGGCTTTCATCATGCCACCCAGTTGGGGAGGTAAATCTGTATCGGTATAGCCGGTATAACCGCCCTTCGGCGTAACACACCACCACACCAGTAAAGGCAGTGAAAGGAGAGGAATGGGCACCACTTTTCAATAC